GTCCAAGTCGCTGATGAAGACATTAAAAAGTCATTTGTACAGTGGTTCTCTTGTAATTGCCATGTGCTGAATCTCTCCGAGCTGGTCACCCCCAAGATGCATAGCACTGGACATGCTGAAAAGGGGTTAATGGCAAATGTAGCTTGACTTGGTTCTCCAGGAGACAAGTGTAACCCAGGTGGTACTCCAAAAGGTACCCCCTCTCCAATTGAAGGGATCAAAGCAGGTGCACAAGCACTGTGGGAGGTGTAGGGACTCTCCTCCCCCTATAGAGCAGAGCCAGACCACCACTGGGGACTTAACCATATACCTTTTAATGAGGGAACAATACTGGGAACAAGACAAGCATAATCAGGGGGTATAGTGGACACCACAATGCCCCAAAGGGCAGGATTCAACAAAGGTTAGACAGTTACAATCATTGACAAAAGACAGGGTTAACAAAATATAAAACACAAACAACAGAGCAAACAATACCGGTTGGGGAAATATAAAAAGGCACAAAATACAAAATGTCAAAGGACAAAGAAACATAGGGCCTAGGTACCTTCAAAGGGGAGAAAGGGGGAAAACACAATGGTCCCTTTCCCTGCAAGAAGAATTTCTCCTTGTTAGCTCACTCACCCCAAATCACCAAAGCTGGGACTTGAACTTGGATCTCCCATGTGGTAGATAGGAACACTGCCATACAGACACCAGGGCTGGTACTGCTTGAAGCTGCTAGGGGTCTTGACCTTTCTGGAGCCCCGGCCTCATGTCAAGCTGTCTGGTCTCTGATTGGAGGAGCTGGAAGCCAAGCTGGGAACCCCTCAAGTCGCTGCTCAGATCCTTGCTGAAGCGGGAAGCCTCTCCTGCTGGCCACAGCCTCTCGTAGGGGATCCTGGAGCCCAGCAGGAAGCCTCTCCTGCTGGCCACACACCGTGCTGCTGAGGGTCCAACTGCTGCCTGCAGGTCCTGCTCCTTCAGGCTCTTCTGGGGCAACTGTTTCTGCCCCGCTGGCTCAGCTCTTGCCAGCTCTTTGAAGCTCCTTCCTTGTGGTCCCTCGCTGGTCTCTTCCCTGAGTCAGCCCTTTTATCCCCCTCCAGGTGACCCAAGGGGCCAATCAGGGGACATGAGGGGTGAGTCTCTGGGACCTGATTCGTGAGGAAAGGGAATCCCTAGTCCTCCAATCATCTTTTACCCCTTCAAAACCCCTGGACCAAATCATTACCAGATTGGTGAGGAAAGGGAATCCCAATTCCTCCAATCATCTTTTGCCCTTTCAAGACCCCTGGACTAGGTCACTGCAAGCTACCCCGTCACACAAGCATCAGAAATTGGACAACCAGGTGAGCCTGCAGCCCCAAATAGCACAAAACGGGTCCTCATCAGGGGACAACCCACATCACCCCCCAATGAACAAGCAGGTAAGTAGAAGCAAGCTGACTGGGAGGAAGGCAAACAGGAGGCAAAGGTAAGAGAATTTTGACATGGGGAGTGGCTGCTCCATGGGTTCCACTATTAAGTTGTGTGCCATTATTAAGACTCTGGGATTTGTGAGCCTCAGGATGTTTGGGACGGTGAGACCTCCTGTGCCCCTTCACCTGGAAGCAAGGTTCAGGTCTCCTACCATTATTTGTCCTCATCTTAGGCTACTTTCTAAGGTTGACTAGAGCTATTGCCCATAGGTTATGGAGAAGGTTGCAGGTTTCCAGAGGATCCTCAGCGCATGGAAACTGCTTCATGTTAGCGCTCCAAAGACAGAAGTTGCAGCCACTAGATGAGTGCTCTGGCTCTGGTCACTTACAGCTGGTCTCGGACTCTGTTCTTCCAGGCCTCAGAAGAACCAGAATGAGAAGTGGATTGTTACCTCTCAGCTCCATGTTCTTGGGGAACCCTGGCACAGGATGCAGCCTGTCTGACTCACAGAGAACTCTCCCCCTCCCCACCTCTGCCTGAACAAGAACTGATTAGAGGAAGGACTTACAGAAGACAAAGGAACACAACAGACTTACCAGCTGGATGCAACTGTGTTGACCATTGTAAAGGCAAAACCGGAGTGGGAGCCTCGAAACAGGGTGTCAATTTACAAATGTTGTAAACGCTGTTTGTCTTAACTCGAAAAGTGGTAAGTCGAGGACTGCCTGGTATAGTATCTTGAGCAGGGCTGTCAATCTCATCTGGCCCACAGACGAGTGGTTCAGAGCCAGTATGCAGGCTGAACTGGACCCACAGACCAGCCCATTATTCTGGTCCTGCTCTGACTGCCATGTGGCTAGGTCATATGGCCCTGGAGACACCACCGCTGCTGGCACAGAGCTGTGCTGCTTGGCCTAAGAACCACCACTGTGAACTGCATGTAGCTACTCTGGGGCTGTGCTACACATAGTAGCCACTCCACAGGCGTCATGCAGGGCCATCTAGTGCACACTGCATGCTACCTGTGGGTCACCGAGACCCATAGGCAGCACCAGGGGCTCTATCTTTGACACCCTTGATCTAGACCAGAGCTTTCCAAACTGTGTGCCGCGACACATTAGTGTGTCGGCGGCAGTGTGTAGGTGTGTCAAGCGAAATGCAGAACATTTTGCGAAAGGGCACCGCGAAGCTCCCTTACTCACGTCTGCTTCCCTTGGCCCCTCCCTCGGAACTGAATTACTGTGTCGCGAAATGATGCATGTCTAAAAAGTGTGTCACCAACATGAAAAGTTTGGAAAGCTCTGATCTAGACACTTCAGTCTTTCATATGGTTATTACTCATAAGCCCCCTGGTGGCGTAAGGTAGAAATAATGGGTGCCACCAGATGGGGGTGGGGAATATGCTCTACCAGAAGCATCAGCGCATTACTTCAAAGCGGTTCCGCAGCATCTGTATAGATCAGCTATTAGAATGAGCTATTAGATTGAATCAGCTATTAAATAAAAGCACCAAAAAGCCCCAGTTAAGCACCCGATCTTTATAGAGGTTGGGAAAGTCAGGTGCAACTAACATGCTACCTTTTCTGGGCATGTGCTGGGCTTGGCGTGGGAGCATGCTGAGTCTAAAGTAAAGCACCATTTTTGGTTCTTTTGACATCTGCAAACAGCCAATATTCCCATTCATGGGTTGGGGAAAAAAGGGTATAAAAACTAGAGTGAAGTTCGAAGATGACCAAGAAATCTTTCACTGACCTGAAAACTGAAAAATAAGTCTCTCCCTGGCCCAAGCTAGCACTTTTATCATTGCTTCCTCCTTTAAATTTTCACCACGGTTAAAAATACACGCATCGTTTATTTCGGTGGAGCCAACCTTTTTGACAAGAAATGCCACACATTAGCCCTGCATCCTTCCTGAGTAACATTCCAGTCTCCTTCTCTTACCTAAGCAGCTGCTTTGCTTTCTGCTCCCTGCCCTATCTGCCACTTTGCTGCCTGTATCCTCCTCAATCTGCCATTTTCCACACACACAGGCTGCCTGTGCCACAGGTTGGCCACTTCTGATTTTTAAGAAAACAAAGTGTACATACTATAATACAGAATCACTTTCTCCAGTTCAGTAGACGCTTTACATTATAGTTTACTTACTTGTACACTATAAAACACTCAAATAACTCCTTTCTGGAATTTTAACAATCATTCAGACAGATTTGACTGCTTAAATGGTACTTTTAGTAGATTTCTACTGTATGTTATTCTTGTATGTCTATCAAATCTAGATAAACCCTCCCTCAAACACACTGCAGTCAATAGGGTTCTGTGCAAAAGTACACGAATCCACCTAAGCAGACAACTAGAAAAAAAAAGAAGGAAAAATGTTTCCAAAGCCACCCTCCACTGTGAATTTCTCAGAGTTCAATGATAAGTTATTGCATTTCTTAATAATCTGAAGCTGAATTTTTCAACCCTTCAGTAGAAAGCAAGTGACAACATGAAGTCCAATCACTATATACCACAGAGGAATTTGTCATCAAGAGTATCTTTCTCTTTACATTTCAGAAAAGAACAGGAAGTAATTAAAAAGGAAGGACATGTGAAAAAAGAAAGAGATAGGTAGGGACCTACCAAAATTCATGGCAGAAATGGCGTGCACAGCATCTCCTTTAATCTTTCATGTTCCTCCACATGCCATCCCCCATCCCCAGCCGTTAACTGGCAGAGGTGTCCCACCACTCCCTCCTGATTGGCAGGGAAGCAAAAACCATGGTTTTAAACCTGGGGTGGTTGTTGCCTCCCCGCTAGTCAGCAACAAATATCAGGGCCTCCAGGGCCCCTCAGCCAATCAGTGGCAGGAGGTAAAAATGGCGCCATATTTATAACCACATTTTCGTCTCCCCGTCGATGGGGAGCAAGGTACAAGCACACGGCCCCTCCACCAATCAGTAGGGTGGAGGGGTGCGCAGGGAAACCTGCAAAATTAAAGGTGATGCCACGCACCCCACTTCCGCCTTGAAGTAGGGGTAGGTCCCTAGAGATAAGTGTATCATATTACTGCAAGATATTTTAGCTGAAACATACCTGTATGCGTTGTGGTAAAGACAGTCCTGAATCACCTGGGACAATTTGTATTCTTTGTGCTGTTCCATCCATCAGGGTTTGTGTAGCAGCTCCTTGGGAGTGCGCAATCTAGAAAGAAACAAATAAATAATCAGAATGACAGCTACGTGAACTTACTGATGATGCATTACCTTCAGATTCGGCCTATGTCAGCCTTGGCAATGAAAGAGCTCTCAAAGTATGAAGGCAGCAGCCTACAACTTAATTTTACTAGTTAAATTCCGACAGCTAAAAAAAATCTACTGGTTGTACAATATTAAAGTCATTTCACAATAACTTTGAATACAAAATTTGGAATATGTTTTTTATGTAAAGCCTAACTGGGAGAATAATCAAGCCACCTGGGTTAATCAGGATGTTTATTTTCTGATTCACTTCAACTGCTACTAGTAGAATAAATGCCCGGGTGTGATTTTAATTATTATTTGCTGTTTGACAGCAATGACACTACTTTTATTGCTTCTGACAGAATGAATTAAATGTACGACCTAATTCTTAGGCTAAGGATCATAAAGAAAGAAGACATGGGTTCATTATTGATACAATTGTACTGGTAAAGTACTTGTTAAAAAAAAAAAGATCCCTTCAGGAAATATATGATACCCCTCAAAATGACTTGTCCTGTTAGTAATTTACACAGCAGTTGATGTTGTTACTTCTGTAATTGTTTTTTATTTCAGACTTTTCTTTTTCACATTTTGCAGTCCATACACATATTAATATTCATGAATGTCTTGCATTCAAAAGCTTGTCCAACTCTATCCTATCTATGCAGCTGGTAGAATAAAAAGATATTGCCCTAAGAGATCCTTGCTTCTCACATAATTCTTAGACCATAAAAGCTACATCAATCTAATACTATATTCATTCATTCATGCATATTCATTCATGTATGCAAGTATGTGTGCGTGTGTAAACACACACACACACACGTATGTATGTAACTGTGTATGTATATTTTACACATACGTGTGTATATCTATTAATAGATATATACATATACACACTTTATACAGTCTGTATATGAGGTTAGTTTTTCAATACTCTTGATTTCTTGTAGTTTATCCCACAGTCTTGATACGGTATCACCTCCCCACCCCCCACCCTGCGAGAAAATCCTGTTTGGGCCAGAGATTAGCTTGTTAGCTTTACCCTTGCAATAGACTGATTCTGCCCCAGAGGTTGAGTTTTTGACCAGTCTTCATCCAGGAGCTTTAAATCATCCTTTTTAATATCATAGGCTCCAGCCTTTCAACACCTTATGGATATATATAATGGATTGTGCAATATGAAAAAAAGTCTTGAATTCTTGAACCAGAAGTAATGAAATGCTGAAAACACAAAATTACTTATGTATATCAGGACTAAATTGCAGCTGTTCTTTAAAGCTCTCTGACTCAAACCTTGCAGCGGAAGGAAAAGTGCTAATTATCCTCATAAAACAGTGTCCATTCCACACTTTTTGGAACCATGTACTATATATGCATCTATTACTTCTGTTATAAAACCTTATTCTTGGTCACAATATAACCAGTGCATTTGTTAAAACTTGTGTTTTGAACAGAAGCTAATCTTTCTTATGAAACTGGAATTTGGCAGTATGTGCAAATGAACTGCTATGTAATTATATAGATTTACAGATTACAGAAGTGGACTACTGCAGGCTCTTGATGGACAAAATTGCTTGACTAGACTTGAAGATGACTCCAAGGTGGGGATAAGAACTACCATATGCTCAACAGGAAGTAGCTCCAGTTTTATGGAAAGTCCATTCTGTATAACACTTCATATATGTTAATATTCTTAAGATCCAGCTATAAAATACTCTTTTTCATTAAAAGAGCTTCAGTTTTTAAAGGATTTTACAAAAACACACACATCTTAGTGAACTGTTCCACGTATTTGATCAAGTATGATTAGAATCATGACTGTTATTTTGCAAATGTTTTATAAACAATACCTAGAAATTAAAACTCTAGGGGAGCTATTGCTGACTATTGTCACAACCCGAAGTTGTGGTTTTTCTTGTTTTTGTGTGCTTCGGCATCGCTAAATCATGTTCCCGCCAAATTGCAGCTCTTTTGCACGGTGGAGTGTTCTGCTGCAACAGAGAACCTGCGTGCGGGAGCTTTTCCCGCCAGTTCTGTAGCTTTCTTTGCATAGTGCATTTCTTTTGCATTATAGTAATGCACGATGCAAGGAGTCCCTGCCATTTGTATTAGGATTCGTGCCACATTATTGGCCAGTCTTAATGTAGGCACACGTGGCGGCTAGCTATTGGCTTGCTAGCCGTACAAAAGGCTTGGGTGGTTTCCGCCCAAATCGGAGAGAGAAAAAGAAAGCACGTGGAGTTCGGGAAAGGAGCGTGAGGATCTCTAAGCGCTGCTGATCCATACGAACCCAGCTTTTTCCTTAAGAAGGCAACAGAGGTTTAATTTATCGAACCCACGGAGCTTCAACAACTCCGCGGGACTTATTTACCGTCCCCTCGGAGCCTTAACGACTTCGAGGCAACTAACCTCTAGCCTCTCCCCGTCGCCGATCGCAGCCCAGACGTATCCCTATCCTAAGGACCCAACTGTCGAGCCCACAGAGTTTAACAGCTCCGGGGGACCTGGGAACCGAGTAATACCCACGGAGATACAGCTGTTCCGTGGGAACGAATTCTTGAACCCCGCGGAGCCTGAATCACTCCGGGCTCAAGGAACCGAGTGTATTAGAGTCCTCCACCGAGAACTCAAGCGGAGCTGAGCCTGGAAAGCTGACCAGCCTATACCGCGACCACCTTGGGTGTAAGTAAATAATCTTTTCAATCAACCATTACGCCTCCATGACTGATTCTAGCTAGAGCATGTCATACCGCACCGCGGTCTTTTCCAACCCCGTGTACCCGGGCTACCGGCCACAGCCTGTGTACACACAAAGACGGGTCCCCGGCTCGCCCCGGCTCGCACATGGCGACCCAAATGGGATCGGGAGAGAGCTCGCACATGGCGACCCAGGCGAGACTATGTTCACTCATTTTCTTAAAAGCAAAAAATAAAATAAATCCTCTTTTGGGTTTATATGCCCTAAACTGGATTTTGTTTCTGAACATAATAAAGACTGTCAATGTTCAAGAGAATTATGAAAGCTA